CCTCAATCTGCTCCTCCCCTATCTGCTGCTCCCCACTCTGCTGCTCCCCTGACTGCTGCTCCCCTATCTCCTGCCCCCCACTCTGCTGTACTCCATCCATACTGCTCTCGTCCTGCAGCTGCTCAGTCTCAAGGCGCTGCCCGTCGGTGATCTCCACAGACGAGGGCACCACTATCCCCCCCTCACCAACGGGCGGCGCCGTGGAAGACGAAGAGGAGGGTGGAGCAGGTGCAAGAGGGATGGAGGGTGGAAGGGGAGAGGGAATAACAGGAGGAGGAGGGGAAGCCAAGGGGGGTGAGGATGAAGAAGGTGGGGCAGGGGGAACCACACGAGGGTAAACTGAAGGCGGAGGTGGGGTGGGGACCGAGGTAGGGACATAGGGCATAGCAGGAGGTGCGACCACCTCCTCCTCCTCCACCGCCTCCTCAAGAGTGATCGGGAAGTGAGAGGGAAGGGGCTCATAGGGCATTGGACGCCCCCCATGCTCTTGCTGATGCCACGCCTTCCATCCTGCCAAGGACATGGTCTCATAGAACACAGCTTCCACAGTGGTGATGAGGCGGTTGGACTCCAAGTCCAGCACGGTCCAGCCCTTGCTCGCTGCGGACACCCCCAAGTGCAACCCCCAGCGAGCCTTTGGTGCCAGCTTCCCCCCACGCTGCGACTGAGGCACCATGTACTGCACCATGCAGCCCCATACCCGCACCATACTGACATCGGGTTTATGTAGAAAGGCGAGCTCGTACGGCGTCACACCAGAGGGCAGCGAGGCGTGCTCCACGCGGTTGCGCACCCAGACGGCCTGCGCCAACGCCAGGTGCCACCAGTGGTGCTGCACCCCCATGTGCAGCAGCATCGTTCGCACCGCCTCCACAATGCTGCGCATCTCCCGCTCGGCCATCCCGTTCTGCTCCGGCGTGTACGGGCACGTCAGGTCATGGATGATGCCTTTGCCGTCGAGGAAGAGCGTGAAGTCATGCCCAAGGAACTCGCCACCCCGATCAGTGCGCAGCGCCTGCACCGTGGTCTTACACTGCCGCTCTGCCATCGGGAGCCACTTCTGGAACGCCGCCAGCGCATCACTCTTCTGAGCCAAAGGGTAGGCCCAGACGTACCGCGACTTGCGATCCTTCAGCACCAGGAAGTAGCGGCTGCCGTCCTTAGCTGTTTCACGGAAAGGGCCACACAGGTCAGCATGCACCACTCCAAGCAACTCATCCTCCTCCGCACCCACTGACGGGAAGGTATGACGAGTGATCTTCCCCCCAACACAGGAGACACAAGGTATGCCTGACTTGCCCCCCTTCTCCAGGTCCAAGCCCTTCACTGACCCGTGAGACGCAGTGCGCTCGATGGCATCAACGCCAACGTGTGCCATACGGGCATGCCACATGTCCACCTTAGACCGCACGCCCGTCGTCAAGGTACGAAGGGCCACCGTTTCTCCTTCCTGCTGCTGCGTCGAACACGGCTGGAAGTTCGTGCAGAGAACACGCCCCCTGAACTCTGCACGCCCAAGAAGCGACCCATCTGGTGCCCGCAGCAGAGTCACGTCGCCTGCATCCAGCAGCTGCACGCCACTATCACGCAGCTGCCCAGCAGAAAGAAGACTCGCCTGCACTCCAGGTACGTACAGCACGTCTGGCACCAAGACACGCCTGCCCCCCTCTCCAATGAGAGCGACTGTGCCTCGCCCCTGCACATCCTGAAGAGCGCCGTTGAAGCCTTTCACCTGTTTGATACTACCGCCGCTGCTCATCTCCACAAAGGCAGAACGATCTCCCATGAGATGGTGGGAGCATCCGCTATCAAGTAGCACGACGCTCGGGTTTGCCTTCACAGCAGCTGCAACAGCCTGTAAGCCCTCCCCGGCCTCAGGCTCCAGCACAACGAGAGGAGTCTGCTCTACAACGGGCTTCACCATCGCACATGATGACTGCCCGCTCCCCTTAGAGCCATCACCCCCCTTGCCGCTGCTACCTCCAGAACCCTCTCCACCAGTGTCTGCCTCCTTATCCGCCCGCTGCTGACAGTACTTAGCCACATGCCCTATCTGTCCACACACATAGCATTTCCCCTTGAAGCCCCCTTTCCCCCCCTTCGGCTGACCATCCTTAGCCCCTTTCCACTTCTCCCCTCCGCCACCAACCCCACCCCCATTCTTAGGCTGCTGCTGCTGTGCCGTAGTGGGAGGGGAAGGGGATGAAGTCTGCTGGAATTGGGGCTTACCCTTCTTGATAAAGACTTGGTTAGCCTGGGGAAGAAATTGGTCCTTCCGTCCCTCCGCCGCTAGCGTACACTCCTCCTCGATGATGTAGCTAGCGAGGGTATCCTCGTCCAACTCCTTGCGCACCTGCGGCAGCTTCAGCATCCTGCGTAAGAGGTTGTACTGTTGTGGCAACCCCTTCACGACATGAGTAATGTACGACGCCTGCGAATAATCTACGCCGGCCATCCTCAAGTTCACTAGGATCTGCTGTGCACGGTTGCAATAGGATGTGGCGGACTCGTGCTCTCCCATCTCGAGGTTAGTGAGCGCTTGCTCTAACTGACCTATATACAGGTCGTCTTTCGCTTGATACGTGCGCATGATAAACTGCCACGCGTGGAAGCCGGCATCTACCTTCATGCGACACGCCTTAAGGGCGATCTGTACGGTTGGGGAGCAGCATCGGGAAATCGTGGTGAACGTTAGTAACTGCATGGCGCGAAACTGTGTGAGAAGCACCACTGCGTGTGCTGGGGGAATAGGAGTGGTACCGTCGATGAAACGCTTTAGCTGAGCGATCTCAAGCTGCGGCTCGATCGATTCTACCCATGTCGACAGGTCGTGGCGTCCTTCGAGTGGCCTAGGCACGACGATTTTGTCTGGAGTGAATTTGAAGAAGCCATAGTTGGGGGCTATTCCCTCGTCCCTCGACATCGATCCAATCGGGGTAATGCCTGGCATAGCTCCACTATCGTACTCCTCCGCATTCCCTCCTCCAGCAACGCTCCGTCGTCCTACGTTCGCACGCTCGTGTGACGCCGCTGCGCGATGAACACGCTCCTGTATACCACCGACGCTAGCCGTACTAAACCGAGTCGTTCCTCGCAGGACCCCACGCGACACCAACCCATCAAACTCCTCGTCATCGCCATCTCCGCCATCAACAGCCATATCCCACGCACTAGTTCCTCCCGCGGCTTGCTCTACACGTGGCGAGGGACGATCGCGACGCTGACGAGCGCGTATTCCCTCCAACATGAGCTCGTAATCTTCACTTCTTTGCTCACCACGAGAGCGACGAGCCACGAGGTCCTCCTCTAATGCGCGGAAATTATCGGCCTCCACGTTCGCCTCCTCCGTACTCATCCTTTACGACGCCTCTATAAGGTACCACAAATTAAAATAAATTGTCCCTTCCTTAAATCCCTCGTCTCGGGGTCACCTCACAAGGGTCCTCAGACGAGTGGTAATAAATTACCAAACGCCCTATCCTTGGGTCCGAGAACGTAACTGGAGGGAAATTAAGAAAGGTTCAACTTAAATTAATAAGCGCCCTTCACTAACGCCGCACGCCAAGGCGAGTATACGAACGTCACTATAATCGACGACGGAAATCTATGCGTGTTCGTTCCACGCTCAAAGCACCATGAAGGAATACTATGGAGAGCGTTACGACGGCGAGAGAGTTTCGGCTATGGGAATTGATGTTGTGCCAGTAATTCGGTAGCGTTTGGGTAGCGTTGGTCTCAAATGACAAAGTGAGAAAACCAAGTAGAATTGTAATATCAACTATGAATACAAAAACAAACACACAAGATAGATATAGGCTACGGGGAGGTTTCACAAAGTTGCCGTGGCGCTGCGCAGTAACCCAACCCCACGAAAGTGGTGTGTGAGTGAGCGAACGCGCCTCGTCAACTTCCCAACCCAACTCAGCAGCGGGGTCAATGCCGAGCACGCCCTCTCTTCCAGCACAGCTAGAAGTAGCGTGACTCACAGAGAAGCCTCCACAACTCCCAAGACTCGTGCCTACGACTTCCCTAGACTAACACCACCCCAGCAATGACTGTTTAGTGCTGCCGTAGTCATATTGCGTCACCACGCAACCATCGCAAGTCATAAGGTCGGTGTTGGGCTGCTCGTCTTGGTTGTTCATAGCTGACCTGCCGAGTCAAACGGTCGTCGAGGGCCCTTGCTGTCGTAGGGCCCTCTAACAAGGAGGAGGAGGAGGAGGAGGAGGAGGAGGAGGAGGAGGAGGAGGAGGAGGAGGAGGAGGAGGAGGAGGAGGAGGAGGAGGGGATGAGGAAGAGGGGAGTGTGAGGGGACCTGTCATCTATGCCAACTATGGGACGGAGGAGGATTTTCAGCTGCTGATTGAACTGCTGCGAGAGGGAGGGAGTGGGGGGGAAAGAGGGAGGGGGGAGATGGAGGAGGAGAGGGGGAAGGAGAGGGGGGAGAAGGGGCGGGAGGAGGAGAGGGGGGAGGAGAAGGGGCGTGTGCAGGAGCTATAGTGCTGATGCGATATGGGAAGATCTATAGAGGGGACAAGGTGGGGAGCTGGAGAACACGAACTGATTTGTTTTAACGGGTTTTGGTTTGTTTCCTGCACCGATTTAACCCGTTGCCTTTCTCCCTCTTCTTCGCCACTCGCAGGTGTGCAATGCAGCAGCGTGTGGCGCCAAGGCAGCAATCATCTACTCAGACCCAGCAGACTATGGCACCCAAGCCACCCACCACGCCACCTCACCCAATCCTTCCTCTCTGCACCGCTTTACCCGACCCCCCTCATCCCTTGCCCCAACCATCAGGTGTGCAATGCAGCAGCGTGTGGCGCCACGGCAGCAATCATCTACTCAGACCCAGCAGACTACGGCAACACCCACGCCACCTCACCACTTCCCGTGCATCTCCGTGCATTCAACCTTCACTCTTCCCTCTCTCCTCCCTCTCCCCCTCTTCACTGGCAGGTGCGCAATGCAGCGGCGTGTGGTGCCACGGCAGCATTTAGACTATGGCAACACCCACACCACACCACCTCACCCATTCCCATGCCTCCCTACTGTGCTATTCTCTCCCTTCCCCTTCCTCCTCTCCTCACCATCAGGTGCGCAATGCAGCAGTGTGCGGTGCTATTGCAGCAATCATCTACTCAGACCCAGCAGACTATGGCAGCACCGCTCTCTACCCCTCTGGCCCGGGCCTACCCCCCTCTGGCGCCCAGGTGAGCTTTCTGCTGTCCCTTCTCTCTCCAGGTTATGTATGTAGAGACACAATCCACATGTCCTTGGGGCGATATGCTCATGTAGCTTCCCCCTCCCCCTCCCCCTCCTTCTCGCGCCTCCCACACATCCCCTCCCTCCCATCCTCCCACCCCTCCCCCGCACCCCCCTCTTCCGCCTTTCTCCTCCCAAAACAGCGCGGTTCAATCTACGAGTCTCTCGGCGACCCACAGACGCCAGGCTGGCCGTCCCTCCCAACCACACATACCACCCTCCCCACCCCACCCAGCAACCATCTCCTCCCCCCCCCCCCCCCCCCCCCCCTTCCCCACCTCCCCCTCCCTCTTCCCTCCCCATCTCTTTTCTTCCCCAAAACAGCGCGGCTCAATCTACGAGTCTCTCGGCGACCCACAGACGCCAGGCTGGCCGTCCCGCCCGGGCGGCGAGCGCTTGTCCTTATCCGAGACAACCGGCAGCAGTGAGGTGCATTTTGAGGCGCCTCAAAATGCACCTCACGGCGAGCGGTTGTCCTTGTCCGAGGCGGCGGGCAGCCTGCCGCCCATCCCCGCCGTGCCCCCCTTCCCCGCCCTGCCGCCCATCCCCGCCCTGCCCCCCTTCCCCGCCCTGCCGCCCATCCCCGCCCTGCCCCCCTTCCCCCCTCCTCCTTTCCCCTCCCCCAAACCAGCGCGGCTCAATCTACGAGTCGTTGGGCGATCCGCAAACGCCAGGCTGGCCCTCCCGCCCGGGCGGCGAGCGCTTGTCCTTATCCGAGGCGGCCGGCAGCCTGCCGCCCATCCCCGCCCTGCCATCCATCCCCGCCGTGCCGCTGTCGTACGGGCAGGCGAATTTTGTCCTGGAGCAGCTTGGGGGTGCTGCTGCTCCGGAGGAGTGGATTGGGGATATTGAGGGGTTGGAGTATCATGTCGGCCCTGGGCCTGTGGTGGTTGAGATGGAAATAGAGGTGAGCGAGAGGAGGAGGGGAGGGGGGGGGAGAGAGATACGGGGAGTGCTACTGCTTGGGGGTGCTGCTGCTCCTGAGGAGTGGATTGGTGATATTGAAGGGCTGGAGTATCACGTTGGGCCGGGTCCTGTGGTGGTGGAGATGGAAATAGAGGTGAGGAGGGGGGGGTCGTAGTGAGATAGGGGGTAGATGGTATGGAGATAGTAGGTATCAGCTGCTTGCCGGTGCTGCTGCTCCGGAGGAGTGGATTGGGGATATCGAAGGGCTGGAGTATCATATTGGACCAGGGCCTGTGGTGGTTGAAATGGAAATAGAGGTGAGGAATGATATGATTCTCCTGGTCCAGGTTGCTGGGGTGGAGGGAGGTAGAGGGATAAGGGGGGTACTACTGCTGCTTGGGGGTGCTGCTGCTCCGGAGGAATGGATTGGGGATATCGAAGGTTTGGAATGTCATATCGGACCCGGTCCCGTGGTGGTTGAGATGGAAATAGAGGTGAGGATGTGGTGTGGAGGGGGGAGGGAGAGGGGTGAGGATGAGGGACGGGCAGAGGCGAATTTCATCCTGGAGCAGCTTGGGGGTGCTGCTGCTCTGGAGGAGTGGATTGGGGATATCGAGGGGTTGGAGTACCATATCGGCCCTGGTCCTGTGGTGGTGGAGATGGAAATAGAGGTGAGATGTTTGGAAGAGAGTGTGGGACGGATAGGGAAGGGCAATACTGATAGTGAAGGACGGTAGGGGGTTGCTTTGCTCCGGAGGAATGGTTTGGGGATATCGAGGGCTGGAGTACCACATAGGACCAGGGCCTGTGGTGGTGGAGATGGAAGTAGAGGTGAGGCGTGGTGGATGATGGTGATGAGGTGTGTGGAGGAGTGGGTTGGGGATATCAAAGGGTTGGAGTATCGCGTTGGGCCGGGGCCGGTGGTGGGGGTGAGGGATTGTGGTTAGGAGAGAGATAGATGGGGTGTGTGCGATAGAGGAGGTGAGATGTGGTGAGTTGGTGACTCAAAATACCCACCAACATCGCTCTCTCTTGGCTTCCCATCATCATATCTTTCCTCGACATATCTTCGAGTATCCGAGCACCAAACAAACCTGCCCCCTTTCCCCCCTCCCCCTTGCTTTCTTTCCTTGTCCTTTCCCCAATCCAGTCGCGAATCCTCATGTAAAATCTCCGCCCTCTATCCCCACCACTCTTCCCACAACCCCTTCCCCTCAACCTCCGCCCCTCCTCTTCTCTCGTACCCCAAACCAGGTGAATGACACTGTTACCAACGTTCGCAACGTGATTGGGACGATCAAGGGCCAATCAGAACTTGACAGGTGGATGTTGGGGGGAGGGGGGGGGCGGGGTTGGCAACATGGTGGTCGAGTCGCGAATGGTTTGGCGTGGTTAGATAAGAGTGGTCAGATCATGGTAAGAAGTATGAGAACTCTTCGTGTCATAGCAGATGAGTTCTGAGGTCTCAAAGCTGATGTTCATAGTAATGGAAGTGATGTGGGCCAGAAACAACTCACACACTCGTACCCTGAGTGATGATGTTCACCCTGGACTCGTTCATTACCCCCCCCACCCTACACGCCGATTGCTGGCACTCAACCCTCAAGTTTCCTGCTTGTCATTCACGCCTGCCTATGCCCGTGGTTTCTTTTCAACCTGTGCTACCCCTGCTTTCACTGCATGTATGCACAGGAATGTGCTGATGGGCAACCATCGCGATGCATGGAGATTTGACGCTGCAGTTCTTGAGTCAAGTAAAATATCACCCCATGCCAATGCCCCATGCCCATGCCCCATGCACTTCCCTGCATGCACAGATACGTGCTGGTGGGGGACCATCGCGTCGCGATGCGTGGGTGTTTTGGCGTCACTTGGGGGTATTCCCAAAACCGACGAATCCCCATGTCCTCAATACCCCTCTCTTCCCTGCACGTGCAGATACGTGCTGGTGGGCAATCACAGGGATGTGTGGGTGTTTGGCGCTGCCGACCCCAACCCACGTGTCTGTTACATACGGACCATACCCCTATCCTATGCCTCACCGTATGTGCAGATACGTGCTGGTGGGCAACCACAGGGACGCGTGGGTGTTTGGTGCTGCCGACCCCAACAGTGGCACCGCTTGCATGCTCGAGGTAGGTACTAGCGCCCACCCTGTGTTTGATGCGACTGTGTGCCCGTGCGTTCCTGCTGCCTGCTGCCTGCTGCCTGCTGCTGGGCAATCACAGGGATGCATGGGTGTTTGGTGCTGCAGACCCCAACAGTGGCACGGCATGCATGCTCAAGGTAGGCAGGCACTACCCTCCTGCTCATGCATTTCTGCTGCCATCCATGCTCGGACAAAATTCTGCCATTCTGCTTGTCAGATGACTTGTAAGTCGACTCAGAAGTCACCGCGTGGGTGATGACTTAGTGCTGCGGACCCCAACAGTGGCACGGCATGCATGCTTGTTTGGGTCCATGCTGGCTGCTGGGTGGCGCCCTGCGCGCATGGACCCAAACAGGTGGCGCCCTGCGCGCTCCATCATGTTTAATCCATCCTCCTATCCTCCCCCCCCCCCCCCCCCCCCCCCCCCCCTCTCCCTTTCCTACTACCCCGCTCCCCCCTGATCAGATGGCACGCGTGTTTGGGTCATTGCTGGCTGCTGGCTGGCGCCCTGCACGCTCTATCGTGTTTGATCCATCTTCCCATCCTCCCCCATCCTCGCCCATCCTCGACCATCCCTCCCCCACTAACCTTCCCCCTCCCATCAGATGGCACGCGTGTTTGGGTCGCTGCTGGCTGCTGGCTGGCGCCCTGCACGCTCTATCGTGTTTGGCTCGTGGGATGCAGAGGAGTTTGGACTGGTGAGCAGGGCTGGGGGGTTCAAGACCGGAGATTGGGAAGGGAGGTGCGGTGCGGATGGGGTGGATGGGAGAGAGAAGTTAGGAGAGAGGTAGGAGGGGGACGAGGACAAGGGACAAAGGACAACTCTTCAGGATCGAGACCTCAAGTGAGAGCTTTCAAGTGGAACCACAACCTTTCCACAAAGATGCTGCTCTCTTCTCCCTCCACACCTACCAGATCAGCTTCACAGTTTGGGTGGAGGAGGTCATCGCTCTGCTGGTATCGTAGTCTATAGGGAATACATATGTATTTGCATTATCGATATGTATATTAAGGATCATGAGTTTGCTCTTTTTTGTCTACCAGATCGGCTCAACAGAGTGGGTGGAGGACAATGCTCCGCTGCTCTCCTCTCGCGCCGTCGCTTACATAAACGTCGACACCGCCGTGTCTGGCGCCAGGTTTCCCTCCCTGCCTCCCTCCCTCCTGCCCATCAGATTGGATCCACGGAATGGGTTAAAAACAACGCCTCGCTGCTCTCCTCACGCGCCGACGCTTACATAAACGTCGAAACCGCCCCTCCCTGCCTCCCTCCTTCCCACCCAGATCGGATCCACGGAGTGGGTGGAAGACAATGCTCCGCTCCTCTCATCCCGCGCCGTCGCTTACATAAACGTCGACACCGCCGTGTCTGGCGGGGGATTCCACGCTGCTGCCACGCCACAGCTAGATGACGCCATCAGGGAGATTGCTGAGCTGGTGAGACCTGCAAGTGCCTCTGCATGCGCTTTTCGTGTTTGTTGTTCTTTTCTTCTTTCTTTCTTTCTTTCTTTCTTTCTTTCTTTCTTTCTTTCTTCTTTCTTTCTTTCTTTCTTTCTTTCTTTCTTTCTTTCTTTCTTTCTTTCTTTCTTTCTTCTTTTTTTTGGATGTCCGTTTTTCTGCCTCGTTTTTTGCACCATCTGGTTCCTGCGCCCCATGATGCACCTTCGTTCTGGCATGTCATGTCATGTCATGTCATGTCATGTCATGTCATGTCATGTCATGTCATGTCATGTCATGTCATGTCCCAAATATGTCTTTTGAGTCGACTCAAAAGTCACCCCATGATGCACCGTCGTTGTGTCATGTCATATCATGTCATGTCCCGAATTTGCCTTGTCTCGCACAGGTGGCTTTTGAGTCGACCTAAAAGCCCCTTCGTTCTGGCATGCCATCTCATATCCCGAATTTGCCTTGTCTCGCACAGGTGGAGGATCCAGACAAGCCAGGCCGGTCGGTGTATGCCTCATGGGCTGAGAGAACCAACCGCACAGTGCCCTATGTGAGTAGCGTGTGTGATGGGTTGGTGCGTGCGTGCTGATACTGCCGTGTGTGAGGAGTGCGGTGGGTTACTTGCTGCTCTGTCCATCTCATCATCTTTGTGCTGTGCACTGTCTTGTACCTTTTGAGAATTCTCAAAAGTAAAATTCACATTGCTGCGCACTGTCTTGTATCGTATGGGGTATGGTACCGGCATGGTTCCATATCATGTCATGATATCCTTATGTATCATATCATATCATATCTCCCACCAGCTTGGCAGGCTGGGCGGCGGCGGCAGTGACTATGCTCCGTTCCTGCAGCACCTTGGGATTGCCGCCGCTGACCTGCACTTTGGGGACGGTGAGGAATGAGGAGTGGGGAGGTGGGAGGTGCGGGGGATGAGGGAGTTGCCTGTGGGTATGCTTATGCTCACATTGAGCATGTTTCATGCACCACTTTGGATATTGCCCCCTCCCAGCCATGATTTTCCTCCCTTCCTGCAGCACCTTGGGATTGCCGCCGCTGACTTGCACTTTGGGGACGGTGAGGAATGAAGAGTGGGGGTTTGGGAGATGCGTACTAAGGTGGGATATATTGATGGGCGTACAGAGCGGAAGATGTGTGTTGAGGGGAGTTGCCTGCTGTTGTGAATTCTCACAGAGAGCAATGAGAGTTTTCAAAGCATGCTTCCTGCAGCAGCTTCTTACCTCCCAATTCTTCGTCCTCGCTGCCCTTTCTCTCCGCGCTCTCGCCCTCAGTCCACCCCATGCACCCCATGCACCCCATGCACCCCATGCACCCCATGCACCCCATGCACCCCATGCACCCCATGCACCCCATGCACCCCATGCACCCCATGCACCCCATGCATCTCATGCACCCGATTCACCTTGAACCATCTCTCTCACCCCATCCCGCCTACACCCCTCTTCACTCCCCAGACACCATGCCAGAATACCCTCTGTATCACAGCCGCTACAACAACTACCACTACGCCATGTATCACACCCCATGGTCATCTTGGCCCCTTTTTTCCCTTTCCTCATCCACCCACCTCAACCCCCGCACCTCTCTCCCCTCCAGACTACCCCATGTATCACAGCCTGTACGACAACTACCACTACATGACAACTATACTCGACCCCGCTTCTCTCTCCTCATTCTGTCACGGTCCATACCCCTCCCCTGTCCTCCTCATACCCCCCCCTCTCCCCTCCAGACTACCCCATGTATCACAGCCTGTACGACAACTACCACTACATGACAACTATACTGGACCCCGCTTCTCTCTCCTCATTCTGTCACGGTCCATACCCCTCCCCTGTCCTCCTCATACCCCCCCCTCTCCCCTCCAGACTACCCCATGTATCACAGCCTCTACGACAACTACCACTACATGACAACCGTCCTAGACCCTCTCTTCTCACCTCTCACCTTATCCCGCTCACCCCATACCTCTCACCTTGCCCTTCTCTGCCCCCCTCACCCCTCCAGACTACCCCATGTATCACAGCCTGTACGACAACTACCACTACATGACAACCGTCTTGGACCCTCTCTTCTCCCGCCATCGCGCCACTGCCCAGCTGTGGGGCGCTCTTACTCTGCGCCTGGCAGGAGACGCGACACTTCCTTACAACTACTCCAAATACGCCTTGAGACTCAAGGTGGGTGAGAGCGACCGACCTTGAGTCTCAAGGTGGGTGAGAGCGACCGACCTTGAGTCTCAAGGTGGGTGAGAGCGACTTGAGTTCTCTCTTACCCTCGTTCTCCCACCATCGCGCCATGTTGCCATCGAGCCGCTGCTCAGCTCTAGGGCGCTCTTGCTCTGCGCCGGTCAGGGGATGCGGCTCGCCCCTTCAACTCTTCCACATACGCCCTCAGGCTCAAGGTGAGTGATTCAATCTTGGTCCCCCTCGCTTCTCCTGCCATCGTGCCGCTGCTCAGCTCTAGGGCGCTCTTGCTCTGCGCCTGCCAAGGGATGAGCAGAGCGACTTGAGCGACTTGAGCAACTTGAGCGACTTGAGCGCCTTGAGCGACTTGAGCGCAGGGTAAGAGCGCCATTTGCGCTCTTGCTCTGCGCCTGTCAGGGGATGCGGCTCTCCTCCTCAACTACTCCAAATACGCCTAAAGGCGCAGAGTAAGAGCGCCTTAGAGAGCGACTTGAGTTCTCTAAGGCGCTCTTACTCTGCGCCTGTCAGGGGATGTGACTTTCCCCTTCAACTATTCCACGTACGCTCTCAGGCTCAAGTTGGGTGTCAGCATTATGCATTCTGCTGCCTTCGCCAGCCATCATTCCATGCCACTTCCCAGCGGGTCCACGGATTTCTTTCACATGGTATATACATGCCTCGTATGTATTTTGAGGCGCCTCAAAAGTTCTCGAAAAACATACACATGGTACATACATGCCTCAAGTGGGTTGACACTGAAGAGCTTCAGGCCGCCTTCACCAGCCATCATGCCATGCCACCGCCCAGCCCTCTTTACGCTGAAGGGCCTGCCTGGGGAATTCTTGGGTTGACACTGAAGAGCTTCAGGCTTCGATACAGTCACATGCAGCGTCATAGCGTATCTTTAAAATTGGGTTTCTCTTCTGCTCCTCCACCCATGCCTCCGTTGCGCCCCAGGATTACACCAATGAGCTTCAGGCTTCGTTACAGTCACACAGGGCACAAGATAGGGTTGACTTAGATCCCATCTGGAATGCCATTGGCCAGATGGAATCTGCAGTGCGGGCGATAGCGAATCAGAGCGCAGAGATTATTGCTGAGGCGGTTCTCGATAACGCCATTGGAGGAGCTGCAGGTGCAGCACGGGACATAAATGACCGACTCATGCTGGCTGAGCGCGGTTTCCTGGAAGCTGCTGGGCTCGGGCCTGGCTACACATGGTACCGTCACATGGTGAGTGTGTGGATGCGTGGAGGGGTGATGAGGGGTCATCGGGGTTGATTGGGGATGGTGGGGGGTCGTGTGAGGGTTGGTTGGCCTGACTACACGTGGTACCGGCACATGGTGAGTATGCGGATGTGTGGAGTGGTGATGGGGGGTGCTGGGGGGTGATGGGGGGTGATGAGGGGTGATGGGGTGTGATGGGGGGTGATTGGGGGTGGTGACTGTGACGGGGTTGATGGTGATGAGGGTTGATGGTGGTTGGGGAATGGTGCTGTGCGGTGATGGGAGATGATGGGGGGTGTCTTTCTACAGGATGCACTCACATTCATTTCCTGCACTCTTCACCCCACCCCCCCATCCCCCCACCCTCCACCCTTGTCAGGTGAACAGGCCCAGCCGTGCCAACAGCTATGGGTCAGTGGCCTTCTTTCAGCCCTTCTGCCCTACCCTCTTAATCTTCCCCTTTTCCCCCTCCCCACTCCCGCTCCCTCTCCCCTCACCCCCTGCCCCCTGCCCCCTGCCCCCTGCCCCCTGCCCCCTGCCCCCTGCTCCGCTGCCAGGTGTATGGTCCCAGCCAGGCCAAAAATTATGGTTCAGTGGCCTTCCCCTCAGCCCACACACCCTGCTCTCATACGCGTCTCCAATATCTCCTGCCCCCTGCACTCACCCCCCCTCCCTCCCCCTGCCAGGTGTATGGTCCCAGCCGTGGCAACGACTATGGCTCAGTGGCCTTTCCCTCAGTGTCTGACGCGCTACAGGACGCAACCAGGGGTGGCGAGAGTAACATATGGTATGAATGCCATGCACAAATCTTGCATACCATGCATGCCATACATGCTACGCGTGCCGAACATGCCATACATGCCATACATGCCATACATGCTACGCGTGCCGAACATGCCATACATGCCATACATGCTACACATACCATGCATGCCATACATGCTACACGTGCCATACATGCCATACATGCCATACATGCCATACGTGTCATACATGCCATACATGCCATACATGCCATACATGCCATACATGCCATACATGCCATACATGCCATACATGCCATACATGCCATACATGCCATACATGCCATACATGCCATACATGCCATACATGCCATACATGCCATACATGCCATACATGCTACGCATACCATGCATGCCATACATGCTACGCGTGCCGAACATGCCATACATGCCATACATGCCATACATGCTACGCATACCATGCATGCCATACATGCTACGCGTGCCATACATGCCATACATGCCATACGTGCCATACATGCTACGCATACCATGCATGCCATACATGCTACGCGTGCCATACATGCCATACATGCCATACATGCCATACATGCCATATGTGCCATACATGCCATACATGCCATACATGCCATACATGCCATACATGCTACGCATACCATGCATGCCATACATGCTACGCGTGCCGAACATGCCATACATGCCATACATGCCATACATGCTACGCATACCATGCATGCCATACATGCTACGCGTGCCATACATGCTACGCGTGCCATACATGCCATACATGCCATACATGCTACGCATACCATGCATTCCATACATGCTACGCGTGCCATACATGCCATACATTCCATACATGCTACGCATACCATACATGCTACGTGTGCCATACATGCCGTACATGCCATACATGCCATGCATGCCATACGCGCCATACATGCCATACATGCCATACATGCCATACATGCCATATGTGCCATACGTGCCATACATACCTCTCTATTGGGACGCTTCCACTAATATCCTGTCTCTAAACCACTCCTTCCTGTCCACCGCTTGTCTCTTCTGCCTTGCGCAATCTGGCTCGTCGGGTTGGTTTGTGTGTGTCTGCAGCACCGGAGTGGGGTCGGGTACAGCATGAGGTGTTCCGAGTGGCAAGGGCGATAGAGAGGGTCGCCAGACAGCTTGCGGGAGATTTGATTTGATGTAGATTAATTTGAGATGGTGTAATTAGCTTCCAAGAGACTTGAGCCACATGGGTTGAGTTCACATGTATGGATCCGTCGTCTGCACATTGATGCACACACTAACGCATTGAGT